TCAATCAATATACCTATTTATTCCATTAATATTTACGGGGGTGAAAAAAAATCAAAAAAACATCATTTTGGTTCAAATATTCGAGTACTATAATTTTGTTGGTAGCTCTATATAGTAGTCATTCGGATGAGTGCCAGACGAGAAAAATGTCTTTTATCATTCGTGTCATTCTGTCAATGATAAGAAGGTTTATGCTACGTGAAAGCTTGAAGCGAAGAGCCCAAAATGCGATTAGTCCAGTGACAAGTAAAGCCGAGGGAGAGAACTTTTGCCCGGGAGCAGTTCTGAGAGAAAAGGTCTTTTTTTTTCTAAAAGGGCGGCGGCGGTTTAGGCAACATTCAAAGGAGTGTATGCAAACTAATGGTGTCCGGGTGCAGGCGAGTAGTGGTGGTGGAAAGGGATGGAAATAGCATTTCACGTCCCTCGTGGAAGAAACCTTTATACACACACGCGCACACACGTACACTTACACACATACAAACACACACTTTCTCTTACCCTCCTCTTACCTCCCATCCTCTCTCTCTATCTTTATCGCGTACGCACACACCCACTCGTACGCACATCCCTGGGCCAGCAAAGAAGACTTACACATACATACACGTACAAACATACACATACGAACGCACGCACACACACATATGTGTATACATGCTTATATACTCGCACACACGTACGAACACACACACATAAATCAATAAAACGACCGAAGGGATGCTTTCAAAAGAGCACACGCACACAAACGCACGCACACAATCGTCACACCCCCGCCACCGCCACGTACCACCCCCCAGGAGCATTTGTTATTTACCATGTGCGCTAAGGGTAAAACCACCCTCACCCCCTCGTCAAGGCTTTAACCTCGTGACCGGCGGGTGGTGTCCGCCGCCCATATATCATCCCTCTCAGCCCATTGGACCCCACGTTCTCGCCAATCGGCTTCCTGCTCTAGCCTATGCGTACGTGTACATTTACGTATATAAATTTGTATATATATATATATATATATACATACGCGTATACCAACTGACACACACATGCATGCTCGCGGGTTTGCTGACGGGCAGGCGAATTCTAGGAAATTGGTTTTACCGTCTCTTCCACAACCTCTACAACCGCCGCCTCGCCAGCCGTCATCCCTTTAGCGAAAATAACAAGAAAAAATAACATTTTTATTTTTTATCTTTAGCCGATTACAATTTGGCTCCCGGTGCGAGCGCACAAAGTAAACCCTCCTCTTTCCGTTAAACGCATACATGCGAACATCTCAAAATGTGTGACGGTAAATGTACGAGAGACTATGCTTCGTTAAAGAAAAAGTATATACGTACTACAAAGAAACAAAACTTATCAGGTGTTCGAGTTGTATTGCATAATGTATGAAATAATAAAACCCCAGTGTACGTCAATATTTCTCCTTTAGCAAACAGATTAATAATTCCAATTTCTTTTTTCTTTTTGATCAAGCAAATTATTACTAAATTCCGCAATAAGACGACGATGATTTAAAAATCATTAAGAAAATGTTTGTAAATCGAACGTTCTATTTGTTATTTCCTATGTAAATATTTAAATAATTGGTTACTTTTTGGAATTTTAATAATTACCTATATCAATATGTCGCATTGGTTCAGTCGTAAAATTGAATTATTGAAAGCAAATGCTAATGATCAATTTCAATGAATATATTCATTTTTCATTTTTTCACTATAGCCCGTCAAATTTTAAAGTTCTAAAAATTGGCTCTCTTATTACTTCGTGTTGCCCATCCCTGACCTATATGATAAATTGTGCGTATAACAAATATTCAACAAACCATTGTTAAAACAAAACTATAAACAAAAATCTTGTAAAATAATTATTTCCTATTAACCCATTGTCATAATAGCATTAAAATAACATATTTAAATATATTGAAAATAATAATTATCTTATATACCAAACAAAATAAACAACTTAAACCACGTATTTGTGAACGATAAAGTATATTTTTCCTACTTCTCAAAAACTATACTGCTATTTAAATTATTTTAAAAATATTAATTTAAATAATAGCTTTTAGTGTTTTAGTATTGCATTTAACTTAATTAACAGTGTTTTGATTTTATCTCACTAATATAAAAATATAAACAATTTAAACGTTTAATTTCATTATTAAAATAATAAAATCTGTTAAAAAATATAATATATACCATACCTATATCTCCATTGTGCTACACATTCTGTTTATATGTTATTCCTAGTTTTTTATTCGTGTACGGACATAAATGTATTTTACTTTTTAAATTAAATATGAAGTCTCGTGTAATAATATGTTCCCTTCGACTGAAAATAAACTGTATTTTTATAAAATAGAAATTAATGGTGTTATATGCGTCATAATAAATATTACATTTTTCATTCGATATTAAATTTAAAAAACTATCCATTATTAGACTATTTAATACTTAAGCTTGAAACATTTCACACTGCTGCCTTTAATTTACTAAATTGCATTTAATATTAGGTACTTGATTGCAATCGTTTAATGTATTGAAACATGTTGGATTAATTGAATACTACAGTATTATTTGTAACCGTCAAGAAAAAAGTGTTTACGCTACTCCCATCTTACACGGCGGAATTGCTGAAATTAATATATTCATCTGGAAGAAGTATAAAGTTTTACCCTACACGAACCACCTAACGTATGTTCTATTCGTATAGGTAACAAACATGTTATTTAATACCGTCTGTAGGCTTAACAATCATTCGATAAATACACTTGCGTGACCTACGTCAACTTATTATAACAATCTAATCGGTAGAACAGACCAACTAAGAACATATATAGATTTAATGTTGAAAACGATTTCGGTCGTTGTTCGATTAAAATGCTATTCGTTCGTGTCGTTTTTTCGAATCGCGTTGATTCACCGAAACCAATCGTTATAGGGAGGAAAAAAAATAATATGTTTTATAACCCTTAAACGATTAAAAACCGATTTACCGCCACCGTCGTCATCGGCAGGATATTGAACCCGGAAACACATTTTCGGTAGGTACCGCATTGTCGGTATGACAATAAACACGATTGTACTACACGAGTTACCACCGTACGCATAGCAAGTAAGTACAGCGATATTATATAGTCGTCCCGTGCGTCGCACAAAAGATACACTCAATACTCGATCGCAGCAATGACCGGTTTGGCGGGTTGTCGGGGGCAAAATATAAAAAAATATGTATAAAAATCGGTTGTTCGGAGAATCGATGAGCATGTGATGCCGGTAAGCCGTCGGATTGGGGTGGATCGGGCGACGGGCACGACTCGAAGAGGGCACGAGCCGTTTGTCAGAGGCGTCTGCGATAATTGGGTGGTCAACCCGGGGGCAGCGCGAGGGGGTGAAAAAAATTCGACAAAATAATAATAATAATAACAGGAAATTTATCGATCAGGGTCAGTGGTCAGGCGAACTGGTTTCTCCGGGACGCACCGGCTGAAATCTTGTCCTGTGCGCGGCACAATGGGACCCCGGTGAGATTTATGGCGCGTCCAGTTCCGCTTCCGGGGGCCAAAGGGTTAAAAACAACAGTAATAAACATGGGCGCAAATTGATATTGAACACTTTTTAATGGACATTCGACACGCGAGAAGCGATCGCCCAGTACAACATCCCTCATGCGAGAACCCGCGCCGCATTATTATGCACGGCCGTATACGACACGATTGCACAAATCACGGCGCCCTCGAATCACGCACAATTATCCACGCGGCCGTAAAAACGTTATTTGTTCTACCATAATTGTACGCAAGCGTAAGTTACTCGTATTCTCTGTCCGGTAACGATGACGTAAAACGTTCTTTCCGCTGATTAACGGTTGCCAACGATTAAAAACTAATATAAACTGACAACGAATTCCTAACGACACAATCAGCGGATTAAAATGACATCGAGTTACTGTCGATACTTTTTTTGTACGTAATTATCATCATAAGCTTATTATAATTTTTTTTTTTTTTTTTTAATTCCATTATCAAGTCAATAAAACCAAATCTTTTGCTTCGATTTTTAAAATGACAAAAATTATACATAGCTTCCAAAATACTAATATAATATTTTCGTCGGCAAACAAATGTAGTTTTCATTCTGAACAATCAGCAATCTTTTAAAATTCCCTGTAACAGTATACTCAAGTATAGTATGCATTATCTTAGCATAAAATACTCGTATCAAGGGAAACACATATTTAATATGTATCTGATCAAACTTAAACCCATCGTTATTCAACAGATCTATCCCATATTTATTATATTAATATACAGTGCTGAAGATTTATTTTATAACAAAACCGTTTTTCACGGTGTACAATCGTTAAGTATACTTCAATGTAACTATACATACGCGTGTGCTACGAGTAAATAACATTATAATACTATTACATCAAAACGTTTATAATTAGTAATCATTTATAAAATACCCTGTTTTCTACATTTATTGACATGTCAAAATTATATCATTATAAAACACTGTCTTTCGATCTTAATTCGCCTTTGATCTTCGGTAATAGTCAAACATGATCTAGTTTTACTCTTAATATTTTTATTAATTTTTTTCATATCAATAACTATTAATTATTCTATGAACATATCAACATATTAATCAATAACATGTTGTGGATATTTTGATATATTGTATTATATTTTATATTTTTTATATAAATATTATGATTAATATTTATATATCTTCATTATTTTATTTTTATATGTTCATTGTAAGTAATAACGTGAGAACATAACGACGAAGAACCTAAAAAAAACTTAATGACCTAACACAATATGTACGAAGAAATATAGAAACGACGGGTGCTACATAAATAAAAATTATTTCAATTATTTTTTTATTTATTTTTTTTTCAAACGTATTTTTTCAAATCATATTGCCAACGAAAATACTTGGCTCGTCGGTTATCAATCATAATGAACAATTACACAAATGTTTTCTCTACACTCAACAACAACGTCGTCTTTCATATATCGTACCAAGGCGGATTAGCATCGACAGTTCGATGCCCGTTCGAATTAGTACATGATATCATAACCGTTAAGACCAGCGACACGGCGCGCCGCGACGTGTTCGACAAAGATCACGCGCTCACTCGAATGAAAAAAAAAAAAAAAAAGAAAAAACTCTGAACTTTTCGGCCGGGGTAAAACTTCCTATAACACTACCCTAGCCGTAGCGCAGTGCGTACGATTGCGTGTGCGAGTGTGTGAATTATAATTGTGATCGCGGTACACGTATATTTACACGGATTGAAACGGCGTTTTGATAATGAGCCGCTATTTTCCTTCTACCGCCTCCTTCTTCCCGACGCGTCCCTCGGGAGACAAAAACGTGTTTATACTGTCGTACGTTTGTTTTCCCGTCACCCCACCCACGCGCGCATGACCCTCGCGGAAAAGAGTAAATCGCGTCGTTACACCTACGCGCAAGCGGTCCTGACGCGTGTGCACGGCTACGTTAACCCCTCCGGTCCCTTCGCGTCGGTTTGTCTGAAAAGCGACCCGGCAGGGTCCGGGGGACACGTACGCTTTCATTATTATAATGAACGTTCCGGAGACCCGACGTGGGAGCGTCGCTCGTGTCGTTGTCGCGTCGCGGCGAATTACGCGTCACCCGCCGAGCAAAGGTCGGCCGCCGTACGTGCGCGTTCCATGTGCGTTCGCGCAACCGCTCAACTCTGCAACCCGAGAGTACATTTTTATTCAGACGAACAGCAGCGGAGATATGAGAGAATAACAGTCACCCGCGAACCGCTCGTGCTGATGACGAATATGGGTGGGTGCGGGAAAATTGAAAGAGGGGCGGGTTAAATGGACGATCCGTTTTCGTCGCCAGTTTCATCTCACACCGACGACAGCAGTGTTCGTTAACGGTTTCGGGCCGATCTAGCACCGACTCACCCTCTGTACGCGTTCCTGCCCTACCCAGATAGCGACCTTTTTACGCCGCCTATTAGTTTCGGTAAAAATCTCCCGGGCCGCGTCCGCCGCGAAAAACGCGTGTGCTTTGCGTTGCGCGCACACAGGTTCAAGTGTTTTGGTAACGTGGCGTGCCCGTTCGAAACGGTCGTGTAACACTATTTCAAAACCATTAATGATCATCGCCGTAACGAATGAGATGAGAGTTTGATTATTTTTACTGTACTGAAGTATGCGCAATCAGTATGTGTATGTTGTAGCCGAACAAGCGCAAGTAAATAGGGGGCCGGCCCCGATCGCAACGTTCGGTTCGAGATTTCAAATCGTTCTTAAGACTCCGTGTTCTTCTCCTTTCGTCGTTGCAGCGAGTGTTTACGTGTTCGCCACAGGGACGTTTCCGCGTCACCGCCCAGGTAAAAGAAAAGCCGTCCCGCAGACCATTGCGCGAGCCCAGGCGTCGCGGTTTTTCCGACGATAAACGCGTTTTACTCGTGGACGGGTACTCTCGTGCCGTATTCGCGAACCAGACAAATGTCCGCATCGCACGCCATATGCCCGTACGATATTATCGGCTGTAGCAAATGAATGCGATGCAAATACGAACATTATTTTCGGCTGCGATCAACGCGTTTCTCGATCCGACCGGAGACAACGTTTGGCCGTCCGAATCGTGCGTTTGAATATTTCGCTGACGTTTGTACGTATCAAAGCGCCGCAACGCTACCGCCGTCACATAATTGTCACGCAATGTTACCCGACCACGTGTACGCACGGATCTACGACGAGACATTGAGAGTTAGATAAAATATGAAGGAAAAAAAAGAAAGAGAGAGAGAGAGAGAGAGAGACTATATCGCTCCAGGAATCGGCTTTAAAATACACGTAGTTATCGTTATTATGTCGTAAAAAATAAAATATCTTCCGACATCTATTATGCAAACAACATTTGTTAAACGAACACGATAATATACCCCTGACGGTTCCCATTACTCTCGACATCCTTCGGCTTACATTTAGACTACCGTCCGTTTGTCAAATTCATTAATTTGGCTTTACGTTATCCTTAAATTCATTTAATAATTCTTCTCTATTTTTTTTATGAACTTTCAACTTCTGAAAAACGTGATTTTATTTTAAATTGTTCGTATTGTGTATACATATATATTATAGGCTTTACAAAAATAACATTTCGATATGGCTAAAAATAATGAATATTTAATATCGTTTTTTTTTTTTGTTGTTTTTTTAGGTTCAACTTGTGGATTCAAACTACAGACTTAAATACAACACATAATTTACGAAGCAACAGTTCAAACACGTTTAACGCGTAATTTATTATAAATCTTGTGTATTGTTTAGACAATATTTTGCTGAAGGCTCTCTGAGCCGCGAAAAAAATGAATAAACTAAATATTAGTAAAATAAATTAGTATCTATAACTTGGAAAAACTCAAATAGCTGACAAATATGCTTGATTCAAATTATAATCACTGCTTGTCACTATATTTATAAAATAATAAATTCAAAACAAAATGCTTTTTTAATTTTTTTTTTTTGTTAAAAATTAGAATTATTATACTTTGTACTTTAGTATTTATATTTTGTTACGAAATTATACAAAACAATTGATTTTATTAAATTTTTGTCTTAATTTGTAATAAAAAAACATTATACGGTAACATTAATCACACACGACTAATATTGAAAACAAATCCTCAGCATTCTATACTACGGTATCTTTAATAATATATATTTTAGTATTAATTTTTCAACACGTTTTCTCTATGGTCGAAATGCACGCGTTTAAGCGACGTTTTCACCAACACTCGTACACACTACAACGGACGGGTGATTATTCGCATTCACAACTTCAAACGAATATTCAAGCGTTCAGATATACCAAAGTTGCTGTTTAATGAATTTTCCAGTAGCCCTTGTAATGTACCGAAACGCTTAATATAGCGACGATTATAATTAAGGTTTCGGATTATTCGCAAGCCACACCAGATGTGTAGAATTGCTCAAGTGCACTTCTCGCGTCACATCCAAAGCACCCTCTGACCACGATCGCCCTCGATAACGTTTTCGATTGGCCACACTATACATCGGTCCAGTGACCAATCAGACGACCGAGTATAAGTTACACTGCGAACCACTTGACTTGTTATAACAAAACTCCATATTTTTTGGTGAAAAAAAAATCTGCTACACCGTTAAAAGTAGATTAGATTCAATATTACATAATATATTGCATTAAATGTGTATCGATTTTTGTTCAAAAAAAAAAAATAAATAAATAAAAATGCTAACCAATATTGAATAGTTCAAGATTTTTATTTGATTGTGAAATATTCAATACTAAACGCTACGTATTACAATATACTTCGTTGAGCTAATACATTTTTTCTATATTATTTCTATAAAGTTACATTTTGTTTTCAAGTAAACTAACTATACAATAAGAATTAATTGTAATATAATAATTCGCTAGAAATCAAGCGAAAACCACTGCTGATGTTTTCGATTTCTCTTACACGCTTTCGAAAACGAAAAAGAGATCCGTTTAAACGTAATTGTTCATAAAATGCGCGGCGTACAATATACTGTAAACACCTTGTTTTACAACTATGCGTGTAAACATTCAGAATGAAGGTACAGTATTTAATGAAAGAGCGGGTAGGTTCGTGTTCTGGTTCGCCCGAGTCGTAAAACTTATTTTCAACGATATGTGTTCGAAATCGTAATACCGTACTGAATAGATTATTAGAAACGTTGTCAGCGAGTGCACATAATTAAATAAACGCGACACGCATAACACGAGCATTCAACTCGAATAAAGCCGGGTTTCACGCAAGAAGAAGTAATATTTCGCGGGAGAACTGCGTCGGTGTACCGAATTGTATAATAAAAGACGATCACGACCGCGCAGATGGATAGGTAACGCTACGCAGTGTACAGGGTTCGTAACGAAATCTTAAAGGGACATCCGTACGGTTATCGCAATCGCGACCGGAACGCATCATCGGAGCGCGATATTTCACCACACCGACCGGCTGCGACGGATTCGCCGTGACGGATTTCCGTCGGGAACGACGTCGAAAACGTTTTTCGTGTCACGAATTGGTTTTTCGGTCGTGCCGTCGGCGCACGGTCGCGGGCTCAAGATGCGATTGTGTGGACGTGGCAGGAGGGTCGTTTTAATCTGCGAGCCGCGACAGACGACCAGTGGATACGAGCGGAGGAGAGATTAACAAAGTACGGGGGAGGAGTTGTCGGCGACGATGCTTCTCTCCTCTCCGGCGGCAGCAGCAGAAGCAAGCAGAACGGCGAACACACGACGTGGGTGTCCCGGGAGAAAAGAAATATGGCGGCTATTAGGCTTCGGCGGATTAACTCCGAGCGCATTCAATTATTCCGCCCATGACACTGATAAAGACCGAACTTTACAAGGTTTCCACCGCTGCTGCTGCACTTATAACAGCCAACGGTGGCGGTGGATTTAATCGACTAAACTTGCGCGTATACGGTTGTCGTGCTTTTTTTTTTTTTTTTTTGATGGGGGGTGGAAGGTCTACGCGTACGTCTAACGCATATAACACGGCGACCGGGAATTAGAGGCCCGACGAGAGAACGAATGGCGTGCGTGCGTGGTCGGGGTGCGGTGGTAGGGTGTACCGAGCCAAGGCGACCGGTATTAATTATCGATTCACGGAGAATTTCGGACTCGATTTTAATCCTTTGCGAGCAGCGAGATTTGTTTTACATTATTATCCGTCGTTCCGACGTACGCGTATCGTGGTAGCGCGACAAGGTGTTCCGGAAAGAAGGAGAACATTCGTGATAATTCTCGCAGAAATGAATAATAAAAATCTACATTACACACAATCAAGGATCCGAAGGTTAAACATAACTCGTGCCTAGCGGTACACGGTATTCGAATTCGTTCCTGAAACGGAAATTTACCTCGTCCGACGTTGACGAGTAGCCCACAGGACTGGGTGAAGCTTCATTTTCCGTTTTTTTTTTTTTTTCCACTCGACTGCAACAGCCGCAGTCTTCAGCTCATGCACGGTTTGGACCTAGGAGGTGTTGGAAATCGAGCCGTACACATTGTCCGCTTTCGATTTCGGGGACGGGGACACGTACGAACATACACATCATCTTACGGGCGTCAAATCTAAGACGTGATATTAACTTAACCTTTCGTACCGTTCGCGGCGTAAGACGTAGGTTCTGTATTCCGTCAAAACGACGGAATCGCGCAAACACGTAGTTTTTCACTTCCGGAACCAGTTGTTTCGAGTTTTCCCGGGACTCCGAGTACGGTTCACGATGTACAAAACGAGTTCGGAAATGCGACGGGGCATTTGTGCGACTGGATGAATACGTGCGCGCAGGGACAGTGCGCGACGGCAAACCGGAATGCGAACGGGTGAAAAAAAAAATCTAAACCGATTGCGCACGTTCGGGTCGACGTCGGGTCAATTGCGAACGGAATAAGGGTCGGTTCACGGTAAATACCGGCCGCGAAGGAAAGGGATGGGGGGGACAGGTGTTCCGGAGACGAAGCCATCAGGTTCTTCCGGGTTCTTCATCGTTCCGGGATCACGTGGTATAATGCACACACGGCGCACCCGTCCGTCAAACGACCGCGCGCCCGACCCCGGACAGCGAAAGTCTCCCCCGACAGAACGGGTCACCACTTCGTGCCGGCGGCGCTCGACATATTTATAACGAACGTTTGCGTTATCTGAGCACAATCAAAGATATTGTACACCTTTTGAAAACCGAAACGCGTCGTAACGAATTCGTAAATCTTTTTCCGCGTCTAGTACCGGGGTTCCAGTCAAATCATACACCCGGAAAATATTACCTAGGGGGTGGGGTAAAATTTTCCTAGGCATATTTTACTCCCGGTACAATTATCCTAGGTTATATTTACTCCCTGTAAGATTATCCTAGGAATGTTCTACCCCCCCCCCAACCACCGGTAAGAATTCCACAATATCACGAAATCTACTGACTACCGCGAACCCGCGTTGAATCACGTGCTTTCGACGTGTTCGCACCGCACAAAGTCCGTCGTACCGCACGCGATTTCAGGGGTTGATCTTCCACCACCGACAAGGATGTTCGGGCGTTATTCGTTCGGCGATCGCGACGACGGCTGAAACAACCAGTTGAATACGTTAACGGGTCTCGCGGTCGTTTGCACCTCGAGACACCGACAACGATACATTGCACGGGATATAATCTTCGTACGAATTATGATCGTTCTTTATTTTCCACTCCGTTTTCATCCGCACTCGACTGGTAGTCGAAATCCACCACGAGCCCCCAACGTGACATGGAGCGCTTTGTAAAACGTCCGTCTGTTAAGATCTTTTCCCGAAAACATCCCGGTATCGATTTTCCATGGAACTGAAACTAAAATCATACAAGCGTTAAAAAATCGAATCTATGCTATTTCTATACTTCCGGTAATAATCAGTGTCAGGTTTACGTGAAAAAACTAGAAATTATTAAAAAATGTTAATATAAAAAATAAAATATTGTGTTCACCGAGTACTGTTTATAATTGCATGCATAGATGAGTCCACAGATTTTTAGCAAGTCGTGCACAAGACAAGGCAAATATACAAATGCGATACTAGGTTACCAAAAAAAGAAACTACGGTCTTCAAATTATGAACAAATCATAATTACCTTATAATACAAAAATAATTACAATTTTTTTTTAATTCTTACAATAATTCTAGACGGCGTTTTGTTGGAATCATAAATTTAAAGGCACGTAGTTTTAATTTAAAAGACTAATAATTTTTTTTCAATTTTCAATTTCTATCGATAATTATTAATTTTTAAAACGCTACATACTTCATTGTAATTGTACTAATGTAATTTTAAAATTATTTCTGTACGTATCTTTGGAATGGAAAAACGGTATGGTGGTTTTTACGAAACACTTGATAAATAATACCTCATATATACGTTAATACAAATGTTCGAGAAAACACCATTTTATGAATTATTTACCTATTGTTTTCTTTTTTTTAAAAAAAAATGGCAATATTCGAAATTTCAAATTTCATTAGAGAGAGTTTGTTTATGAAAAACTTGATATTAATTTTCTGATTTCAAGTTTTTTTGTTTCTTGGTTTCCTTCGTTCATTCGCTTCCGCAACATTTCAACTCGAGATTTAAATTTTAGTTTTCCCAACTTAAAATCTACGTGGTAACTCACGAACACTTTGTTAATGTACATCGTAACGTTTCATTACGTTAAATTTAATTTTCAGCGTAAGCGCGACCGTACAGTAGTAATAACAGTGATAAACCTTCAAGTTATAGACATAGGTAGCATAAGCCACGAGAACACGACAAAGTATAGAATTAACTTTGATATTTTAGATAATTATTTTAAAATAATATCTTCATCAAAAAGATAGATTCAAAGTAGTCTATAACTTATCATCGATATCTTGATAATATTGTTAACTTATTTCAAATCTGTAGCTTAGTAATAATTG